TCACCAGAAGCAAGTTTTCTCTCATTCCTGGCTTGGCTGACATCTCTTCTTTAAGGTTCCAAGTTGAACAAGCCCTCTGAAAACTTTCTGTGACAGCTAGGTTTGAAGAGGTCTTTCTTGTTATTTTTTTCTCATGGAACCCAGATCTTTTCTTTTCTGGCACTTACCAGAAACTTTTTAAATTATCTGACCAATGCTTTTCTGTCACCTGAGGACAGGACCGTGTTTATGGTTTGCAGTGTGTAGCATGGTGCTTGTGACACGAGACCCTCAGTATACATTTCGTGGTGGGACCCACAAATGAATTCCCTCCCATGCACTCTCCCCAGTTCATAAGCCCTGAGGGTGCAGTCTTACCTCAAAGTGTACAGGGCAGGGCCAGACAATTCGCCGTCGCCTCCATCAGAACATCCATCATCTGCTGGGCCCTAAACTCTGGCTGCCAGAAGACCCCACTGAGATCACAGCGGTCACAGGAAAGGGTACAGTGAATTTTGCACACATCAGCTGCCCACACATAGGGGTTTTCCCCCATTCGGGGCGTTGGTATACAGCTATGGGTGTAAAATTAATACAGCTCTCCTGGTCGGTGGGTCGGTATCTATATTTTCAATTGACCCTCCCCCTCCCCTAACAAATAAGATTGATTTTTGTCTGTTTCTTCTTCTTTCACATTAGTGAAATTTACCCTCAATGTATCCAAAAGGGGGGAAGAAAGCCTGTTTCTAATTTGTTCCGATACATTTATTAAATGTAATCATACAGTAAAAAAAATTCAGAGATGTTAAAAACAGCAGGAAAATATTAAACTTTCAGTGTACAACATTTGATTCATAAAATATGTTTTGTGAGGCTCTCCCTGAAACGGGACACAACCTTAATGACATTCACAATTACTTGCTAAGAGGCTGGATGTAACCCAGAAGGCAGAGATAGAGTAACACATCTTCTCAATGTGCTCTTTCTTCGCGGAGGCCAGATTCTGGGCTGCGTCCCCCGTGAGGATCCTGCTGGCTTTGGGAACGTGGAGTTTAGAGTTCCCTCTGTCTATTCCACATTTCTTTTTTTTATTAAGAGTGAAGTAAGCTAATGGAAAATGTTATTCACTTTTGGGGGATGAAACCTGTTTCTTCCCTCATTCCCCTCTTTTTTCTCATCTCTCCCCACTACCCCAACCAGAAACGTGTAAGCAGATGCCCCCACTTAGGAATCCAATGTGGAAAGAGGAAAACTTATGGGAACTACCATTTCATTTTTTAATGAAAACCCAAAGTGCTATTGAGTGCCTTGAGATGATGGCTTAGAGAAAGATTTCTTTGGACTCCAAAGAGTTTACTCATTGGAGAAGCAATTCACGTTGATTTACCTCTGGTCATGAGCAAGCAAGATTCAAGATAACACTTCACACACACACACACACACACACACACGTGTGTGTGCATGACTTGGGCTCCCGTAAGAAAGTACCTCAGACCAAGTGACTTAAACAAGAGCTATTTATTTTCTCACAATTCTGGAGGCTGAAGATCCCAGATCAAGGTGTCGGCAGGGCTGGTTTCTTCTGAGTCCTCGCTCCTTGGCTTGTGGACGATTGTCTCCTCCTCCCTGTGTCTTCACGCTGTCTTCCCTCTCTGTGTGTCTGTGTCCTAGTGTCCTCTTCTTAGAAGGACACAGGAAATGCTAGGAAGAAGAACAAACTGAGGGAAGGAGGTGGGGAGTGAGGGTGGTGGGTGGGGCAGCTGCTGTAGACAGAAGGCCCAGAGATGGCCTTCCTGCAATGGGAACTTTGACCAGAGACGGAATGAGATGAGGCAGAGAACCCCATGGAGATCTGGGGGGGTGCTCCAGACAGGGAACAGCACCGCAAAACCCCGGGGAAGGGGGCAAGGCCAGGGTGTCGGGAGCAGAGAGGGAAAACCTCACTGACCCTCAACTTCCTCACCCCTAAACTGGGATGCTGAGATGTTGTAGTGAAGAGTGGAGATGATACATCATATGTAACGCAGAACATAAAATTGTCTGTCAGTAATGGCCTCTGTGACTGTCCCTTCTCTCTGCACATCCTGTGGTGCTGGTTTATTAAACCTTGTGAAGGTCACAAGTGCTGGGTCGTGACCTGGCATGGAAAGCGTCTCAGGCAGCCATGTGCAATCATATTTCTCCTCCCTCCAGAACATTCCATGGCTCACTTTGCCCACATCTGCTCTGTTGGTTTCTGGGTCTCTCACTATCTGCCTCCCCCTGACACCGACCTCCATCCTTGCAATCCCCAGTTCCCATCCCAAGCTTTTTTCTTGGGGGTCTTTCCTTCTTAGGCACCCTTTTATTTCCCACCTTGTAAGATTATAGATGATTTTATCTTTTTTCCTTTCATTTTTCTCTATTTTCTGATTGTTTTAATGCTTATGCATTGCTTCTAGTAATTAATAAAAAACCCCAAAAGTTCACTTTTAATTAGAAAATGACACAGACACATACACAAAGTGTTTGTAATCCTTTATCCCCAAAGAATTAGGCCCCCCCCCCCAAATTTAGAATTTACTTTTCTCAAGACGGCGGCAAGTCCGCAGCCACTAAGTTCTCTATGTGGCGTGTTTCTCTAAACTCGCACACGCAGTCACACAGGACACGGGTGCCTAGGACTTTTTGAACCTTGTTAGTTTCTAAACGGGTCACCTCGGATGTCCCAAGGATGTCGGCTTCTGTGACGATGGGCCTCTCTGGCCTATTCTGAGGAAAATATGCTCCTGGTAGTTTGAGGAGATTAGAAAGGGCAGTCGCTGCCTTGCACGTGGTTGGCATTTGGGTTTTCTCTCAGCTGTTCCGTTTTCAGTCGCCTGCGGGCTCTCTGGGGCCTGTGAGCCTTGTCACCTCAGCTCTGTCAGGGCTCCGGAGAGTCCAGAGTCTTCAGAACAGACACGCGGTTTAACTCGGTTTTCAAACGAGAAGAGGGGTTCAAAGCTGAGTTTCACCACCTAGAAGAGAAATCAGTTCTCTTGCATTTGAAGAACTAGTTCATAGAAGGTAGAAGGTCTTTGTGGTCACAGGACTCCACTGCCCATCCTCTGGGAGGATATTGGTATTTTTTTGCTGATTCTTTTGAGCAGGTTATCTCTCAGGCTCTCATGGCCTGGTTTCCAAGGCAGAGCGTGAACAGTCCAGAAGTGTCTGAGAACAACGAAGGACCCGTTCCTCCCTCCTTTCCGGGGGGAGCCCAGAACAAAATATGCAGAGGACACGTATTTAGTCTCTTCAAAATTATTATTTTGAGCACTCAGCAGCTGGGCTTCTTATGTATAACTGAGGTGGTAAATTTAGTGTTAATCTTGTCCACAACAGAACCCGAGAGATTGTTCAAGAACATTCCGATACGGCCCTCAAGCCTCACTTTCTTCATCTGTGAAATGGGGTAACACGTACCTCACAGGGCTGCTGTGAGGATGAAAAGCATGAAGTGAAATGATAGACGAAGTTTGGGTGAAGCATCCAGCACAGAATCTGGCTTGCGGTGGATGCTCGATAAATTGTAGAATTATGATGATGAAAATGAGTCAGCCATGGCCCTTGCAGGGGAAACACTCGGAGGCACGGTCACATTCAGTCAGAACCTGATTTCATGTGGTTTGCCTGTGGGGCTGGTTTAACCCTGTGGTTATGTTGGGGGGAGATGGGCTGAGGGGAGGTTGAACTTCTCCAGGTTGGAAATGTTCCTAATTTTTTTATGCATAAATACAATCAGTTTACCTTTATGGAAGTCATTAAGATTCCCTTGGGTTTGTGGAGACCCCTTTGCTTCTGTAAACTATAGATGACAACACTGTCCCGGTGGCCTGCCCAGACTGCCCTGCCGCTGAGGGGGAAAAGGGACGGTGGAGGGGCGTCAGAGGATGGCTCTCGGGGCGGGAAGCGCTGACGCTCACAGGACTTTAGGGCTCTGCAGGCAGTGGTACCCAGGAAACGCTGGCTTCTGCGACTCTAGTGACTGTTTTCAGAAATGAAGCTGGTCCCCCAAGACGTTAAGGGCGCCTGGAGATTGGAGGATGTGGCTGCCCCTATGAGCACCCTTCTGGGACCCTCTGTAGCCCCTGGGGCTTGAAAATTTCAACAGGGGCTAAATCTCGTCATTCCCTAGGCAGAGCTAGAGTGCTCAATGCAAAGCCTCCTGGGAGAAGTAACAGGAGAGTCGCCTCCCATATTTCTGACTTAGGCAGGATTGATTTGTGGACTCGGAGTTTGAGAGTGAGGAAGGTTCTAGAGATTTAATGGGGGGAACAATGAGCTGGAAGACACAACGCGGAGGCCCCCAGGAGGAGAAAGGCCTGAGGCCAAACAAAGGCAAACTTTGCTCCCATCACGTTTGCCTGGGGCTGATCCACTTCCTCCCGAGCAGCGGATTCTCCCCAGTTTGTGGGCAAAACACTATCAACGCTTTGAAAATGAGCAGCAGGTGGCTGTTATTTAAATAAAGATTTCAGGAAGTAAAGAAGAAAAAAACTAGCTGGAGGCTGGAGTGTAAATTCGTGATGCCGAGTATTTAATGATATTAAGATGCAGGGTGGACATTTAGCATTTTCGTGTTGTCTCCCAAGAATCCTGGGTTTATTTGCTAATTTTAAAGGGGTTTGGGGGGGGGTAGAAGGGAGGCATCATTCTTCTGCATATTTTAGGGCACAATTACTAATACCTTCACATGTATTAGAATTGACAAGATTTGGGAGAGAGAGAGGAAAAAATCAGGATAATTTGTTGAAATACTTTGGAAAAACATGACATGGCTGTTTTCACTACTAATGAAGGCAATACCTAAAATAATATTTATGCACCAAAGGCTCATGAGATGGATCAAAGTTCTTAGATGTCTATTCTGGGTAGGAGAAATATAGTTATTTTCTTCTTTTCAATTTTCTGTATTTTTTTTTAATTTCGAAGAAAATGTTAGTCCTTCTTAACGATGGGGTTGCAAATTTAAAATGTGTTTCTTTTCCCTTTTTTTGCAATAGGGTTACATGATGGAAAACCGAATCTCCGGCTTGAAATGTGACACAGATGTGTTTGTAACTTTTGAAGGTGACAATGTTGTTCTGCTGCAGGTAAGATTCAGGAAGTGTTTATTCTTCTTAAACGGCGTAATTTTCAAGATTAAGAGTTATCCAGAAATCTTAAGTGTTTCATATGTTTTATCTTTATCTGATGTCTTCATTTAATTGGCAGGTGTTTTCCTGTTGGGCACTTGGTTTTTGCAGTCGAGAATGGGACGATTAAATTATTTCTCTCTGCTGATCTTTGACATGGAACTGCATCTTTTGTGGTTTAAGAAAACTACTTCTTGTACATATTGAGTCAGATTCTTCTACTGCGAAGGCTTTTCCCAAAGAGTATGTAAGGCCCCGGAAGATGAACAGGTGAAAGACATGAAAAGTCAATTTACAAAAGGAGGGCAATTGATCAGCTTCACTAGTGGTCAGAGAAATGCACGTGAGGGCGTACCGCGGTGCTGTTTTCTTTTCTCTATCAAACGGACTCGTATTGAAGAGCCTGTTGAAGTCCCAGGATTGATGAGAACAAAACGGGTACTCTGCCATACTGCTATTGGGCTGTGTGTGGCTCTACTTGTGGGACTGTCTAAGGTAATAATCCTAAATACAGAAAAACTTTAGGGCACAAACATTTTCATTAGTATGTTATTTATTACAGCAATAGTGTTGGAATCTAAATTTTCAACAATAGGAAAGTGATTCTGTAAATCATGTTCTGGCCACTCAGTGGGGGATTATGTAGCCTTTAAAACTGTACTTACAAAGAGTTTATTACAGAAATTAAAAACTGATGATTTGCTAAGTAAAAATGATATAAAATTGTATATAGAATGTGATCACAATTGGGTGTTTTTATAAAAGAAGAATAGGGACTTCGGGTTCTGCTAAGATGGAGTGGCCCTGTCCCTCCCAGGTCCTCCAGCCTGGACATGACACAACAAAGAAGCACAGGAAGACTCTGAAAGAGGGGAAGAAGGAGGCAGGCTGCCTAGGAACTGGGACTGGAGGAAGCAAGTGGCAGTGAGTTCTCGGAACTTCTTTATTGTCCCCCATAAATCCTGGACTGGGCATATATGCCCTGAATCTCTAACAGGCACAGGCAAAGTATCCAAAGCCAGGGAAGATGGTAGCCTAACAGCAGAAAACCTTGTAGGCAATATTCACTCTACATCAGCCACACACACACCAATGTCAGCAGCACCTAGCAAGAACTGATCTTCCTCATGGCTCCGATCCAAGGAAGTAGGCCGTGGCAGCTAGCAGGTGGTAGCACTCCCATTCTCCCTCGTGGTGGTGGTAGAACGGCTGAGCAGGGAGTTAATCTTCCATCCTCTGCCTGGTGGAAGGAGGTAGAGCTGATTCTCTCATCAGGGTAATGTCAGCAGAGCCCATTGGTGAGCTAAGCCTTCACCTCCACACAACAGGAACAAGACCCTGTGAAGTGACCTAAGGTGGGGCTAATCACCAGTATGCTTCCACCCTCTACCCCAGTGTCAGCAGGGTCCAGTGGGGAGTGGAGCCCCTACCCCTGCCTGGCATCAACTAGACTAAACCAGGAGGTGTGAGTCAGGGCTAGTTGCCACTCCATATTCCCCCCATCCCCGGTGTCAGTACACCCAGTGAGGAGCTGAAGCTACACACCCACACTGCAGCAAGAAACTAAATCGACAGTGTGAAGCAGGACTAGTGGGCACTCTGATCCCCCTCTCCCTGCTCTCTCACTCCCATACCAAAGGGGCCCAGTGGCTCCAGCTGAGCTCCACTCTCACCTGGCATCAACGGTGGAATTAAGTGGCATGAGCTGGGATGGTTAATACTCTGTTCCCTGCTCCCATAGTTTTAGCAGGAGCCAGTGGGAGGCTCAGCCTCTCTCTTCATCCAGCATCAATGAGGTGAAAAAAGGTGGTGGGAAACAGTGCTAGTTGGCACTATGCTTCCCCACTGCCTTCCTCTGGTATTAGTAGGACTAAGAGAGAGCCAATGTTTCACCCCACTTGTCCGCAAGAAGGTAATGTGAGTTGCTACACAACTTTTGCCAGAGTGGTATTGGTGACAGCACTGGGAAGCTGAACACACACACCTATCCAGACCCTGTTCTATACCTCAAGATTAAATAGAATCTCATAATATAATATCTGAACACTCTAGATACAATAGAAAATCATTCCTTATACAAAGAACCAGGAAAACTACAACTTCAAATCAATAGATGATGACGCTGAGAAGATGATGATGCATTTGTCAGATGTTAGAATTATCTGACAAAGATTTTAAAGTACCTATTATAAAAATATTTCAAAGGTAATTACAAATCTTGAAACAAATAAAAATAATAGAACATTTCAGGAAAGATAGAAGAAATGAAAAGAGACCAAATGGAAATTATAGAATTTAAAAATACAATAACTGAAATAGCAAGTTTGTGGAATGACACCAATAGTAGAGATGACAGAAAACAGAATCTATAAAATTGAGGACAGATCAATAGAATTTATCCAGTTCGAACAGAGTGGAAGAAAATGAACAATCTTAAGGACCTGCAGAACAATAGCAAAAGAGCTAGCATTTGTATCATTAGCATCTCAGAAGGAGAGGAAAGAGGATGAGATGAACAAGTATTTTAGGAAACAATGCCTGAAAACTTCCCAAATTCTTGAAAGACATGAAACAGCAAATTTGAGATGGTGGATGAATCCCAAATAGGATAAAACAAAGAAATTCACAAGACACATCATAAACTTCTGAACACTAAAGGCAAAGAAAAAATCTTGAAAGCTGACGGAGAGAAATGACGCATTGCTTCTAGGTGAACATCAATTCAAGTGACAGCAGACTTCTCATCTGAAACCACGGAGGCTGGAAGGAATTAGCACAACATTTTCAACTATTGTAAGAAAAAAACAGTAAATTGCAAATTCTATATTCAGTGAAAATATATTTCCAGATTGAAGGGGGGAAAAGATTTTATCAGATTAAGGAAAACTAAGAGAATTTGTTGCTAGCAATTCTGCTCTTAAAAAATGGCTAAAGGAAATTCTCTAAACAGAAAAGAAAATGATAACAAAAGAAGGCTTGGGACTTCAAAAAGGAAAGAGCATTGGAATGTGTAAAAATAGGTGTAAATATACTACACTGTGCTTCTCATGAGCTTTCAAAATCATATTTGACATTTGAAGCAACAATTATAACACCTTTTGGTGTAGTGCTCAATGTGTGTAGAGGAAATACTTCAGACAACTACATTTTTTAAAAAAGAAAGAGTACAAAGACCTAAATGGAGGTAAGGTTTCTACACATGACTCGAAGTGATAAAACATTGATACCACTAGGCTATGTTAAGTTACACACATGGACGCATGAGCATGCTCATGTGCATGCACACTCACACACACAGAGTCATACTTAAAGCAACCACTAATAAAACCATGCAAAGTTGTATACTAGGGAAAAAACCTGATAGAGATGAAGGGAGAAAAAGACAAATCAATAATTATAATTGGAGACTTCCACACATCACTCTGAGCTGTTGATAGAACTATTAGACCAAAACTCAGAAGGGATATGGAGGAACTGAACAACATAATAAACCAAGAGGACTTAATTGATATGTATAGAACACTGTGGCCAACAAGAGCAGAATACACCTCTTTTCAAGCACTCATGGGACATTCAACAAGATAGACCATATCCTGAGCCATAAAACAAACCTCAACACATTTAGAAGGACTAAAATCATACAGAGTATGTTTTCTTACCATAATGGAATGAAACTAGAAATCAATAACAGAAAGACAAGAGGAATACCTCCAAGCACTTGGAAAGTAAACAACATACTTCTAAATAATCCATAGGTCAAACAAGGAGTCTCAAAGGAAATTTAAAAAATACATAGAATGAATGAAAAGGAAAAAATGCATTCTGAATACTAATATAAGGATTGAAGCACTTTATTTCTCTTAGCTCCATATTTTGCAGTTAGAGGAGGCACTTGCCTCATCAGTGTTTGCCTGCCTGGGGTGGCATCATGCCCCTGGTAGAGTGGCCTCTGTCATGGATTAAGGCTGGCTCCCCAAGCTCAATATCCTAGTCCCTACCATTGGCACATTGGGCCCAGCAGTCAGCCTCCCCTTCTGGCATTAATCTAGGGGAATTCTACTTCACTCTCAGGACCTGACAGTTCACACCTCAGGTCTTTGCCTGTGGGAAAGAGGCAGCACCCTGCCCTCCCAGTTAGCTCACTTTGGTTCAATGTGGGGACTTTTTCATATGATTATAGCCAATCACCTCCAGACCTGACACCCAATAGAAGTCTCATTTATAAACTAATGGGAAATACACCCACATACCAAATATGTGGGATGCAGATAAAGCAGTGCTGACAGGGAAATTAATAGCATTGAATGCTTACTTTAGAAAAGACAATAGGTATCAAATCAATAATCCATGTTTCTACCTCAAGAAAATATAAAAAGTGGAGCAAAATAAGCATAAACTAAGCATAAGAAAGAGAGTAATAAAGAAAAGAGGAAAAATCAATGAAGTTGAAAACATTAGTGAAAATCCATGAAAGGCGAACCTAATTCTCCGAAAAAAATCAATAACATTGATAACACTCTAGCAAGAATGACAAAGATAAAAAACAAGAAGACTCAAATAACCAATCTGAAATATGAAAACAATAGATATTTCACTAGATATCCTGTAGCAATTAAAAGAATAATGAGAGAATATTAGAAAATAACTTTACATTAATCAATTTAATGACTTAGAAGAAGCTGACCAATTCCTCAAAACCTAAAAACACCCAAACTCGACCAACTTGAAATAGACAACCTGAATAGTTCTATAATCTCACAGAAATTGAAGTTTTAGTAATATCCAAAGAGCTCCTCCCAAGCAAATCTCCAGGCCTAAGTTTCATTGGAGAATTCTATCAAACATTTAAAGGAGAATTTTACACAATCTCTTTCAGAAAATAGAAGAGAAGGGAACACTTCCCAAATCATTTTACACAGCTGGTATTACTCTGACATGAAAAGTAGACAGTATGAAAA